AAGAAAGCTCTAAATAAAAGAAATCCCTGTTCCTCTTGTCGTTCAGATTCAGAATGTCCAACCAAGTAGCTGCTGCCGGAGAACGTTGGTGAAAATGCCACTTTGTTGTCCTCATCCTTGCCTTGCTAGACATTATTTGTTGTGATTGTGATTGATTTTGTTTGATGATTATAAAGCAAATCAGTGAAGCAAAACCCACAACAACAGCAAAAAAAAGCGCCTTGTTGCTTCCTGTCATTAATCCAAAAGTAGGAAGAAACAAAATGGTTAATCTCACCTGTTTTGTGAGTTTCCAGCAACCTAATCCTGGTGTAGCTCATACACCTGCTTTCATCCTGATGCCTCCTCCTTATTTTAGCAGTTCACCCCGAGGGGAAAAGTTGTAGATATCAGCAACCACCCTGCAGTATCGAGTGTTGGCTTCAGGAAATGTCAAACTTAGAAGAGAATTGGTTTTTTTTTCCCTAGCTCCTTGCAGGATTGCGTAAAACAAATTTTAATCTGACCTTAATTGCTGCAGATTGTTTATCACCAGACATTGGCACGTAAAGATCTTAATTGTGGTTGCGTTCTGTGCAGTCCCACCGCCCAACAGCAGGGTCTTTGAATGGGCAGAGCCATCAATATTAATATTTTTGCTGTATTTCTGCAGTTGCCCCAGTGAAATCCCAGTCCCTGTAACGACAGGGAGATAAAAATAGTGCTTTGACTGGACTCCTGCGTGGAAGATCCAAGTATGAAGGGAGAATGTAATTTTGTGGGGTTTTTTTCTGTGGCTGTGCAGCCACACGGGTGAGGAGGAGAGAAATATTCAAACACAAACAAATCCTGTTGCTGGATAAAGTCGTCGTGAGCTTGTGGATTTTTGTTTTCAGTCCTATATAAATTTTTGTTTTCAATCTCACATGAATTTTGCACTGTAAGAGGGAAGGAAGTGTCATTCCAAACAACCACCTCGAAGGCTGATATCTGTGAAAGTTTCTATTGAAGCTAAGTTTGATATTATTTTCAACGTGCAGTTTTTTGTTTAGAATCTGAACTTTCAGCTAATCTACGCCAATGCCTTTTTTTTTTTTAATGTAGAGAAACATCTATTTATCTTTGTATTTGTCTGCAGAAGTGTTTGAGGAAGCAGAAGTGTTTCATTCTGCCTCTTCACAATTACCACTCCTGCTTTTTACTTAATCTTTGATGTAAAAGCTTCCTGCTATAATTTTGGTGCTGCATTTCTGACTCCTGAATTTATAGATATGTATATATTTTGTGGCATAAAACCAAGAAGCTTATGTTTTCGTTTATCAATTTTCCTTTTTTTTTTTCACTGATTGATTATTTTATAACGAGTACGATGTTACAGGTGTCCAGGGCTGGGCTGCTAAAAGATTCTGCCTTAGGTCTATTCGCACAAATATTTATTCGGAAGCTTTAAATTTGTTTGCATTCGACGGGAATTTTGGCAAATTGAAGTCGCTGTCGTTTAAATGAAGGTTGAGAGATGTAAATAATGAGTTTGCCCAAAAGTGATGCTCGTTCTGGCTCTCTGTTTATATGCCCAAACGTGATACAAATAAATTGCAAACACAGTGTGTGGTAACTTCTGCAAAAAGCAATTAATTTTTAATTCTCAGCAGGAAGATTTGCATCCTCGTCAGCTAATTGGGAAGGGCAGAGCCTGCCCACCTGCTGTCTGTTCCCTCAACCCCTTGCACGTGAAGAAAGACGAGGTGGGTTTTCTTCTTCAGCGGTGAAAACAAATCGTGCTGCGAGACCAAACCCGCGACTTTTCAGCCCAAAAATGCTCTTTTTTGTGGGATGAGGTCGGGGCAGGATGGTGGAACTCCTCCGTGGCACCAGGAGGGGCTTCTTCACCCCGGTGCCAGGGGATTAATCCCTTTCAGCCCATTTTTAACTTCCTTCTGTTCATGTGTATAATTCTGTTGAATGTTTATTGTCAAACCCGGTGTTTTTCTATTAAAAATCTCTTTGTTACCCCCTCCCTTGGCGCTTTGTCCTGGCTCGGGACGGGGTGTGCGGTGGGCGCGTTGTACCGGGAATCCTGCCCGGGCAAGGCCGGTGCCGCGCCCTCCAGCCGCCAGGGGGCGCTGCCGCGGGCGGCCCGACAGGAAGTGACGGTGCTGGGGGGGGGTCTCTGCTTCCCGCCGCGCCTCTCGTCGTCCCGGGCGCTCAGGCGCGGAATGGCCGCCGCCGCCGTCGTTTAGTGCAGAGCCCCGCGTCGCCGCCGCTGCCGCCATGGGCCGGGAGTCCAGGTGAGGGCAGCTCAGGGGCCGCCGCCGCGGTTCGGCCGGGGCTCGCCGCTGCGTGGGGTGGCGGGGCGGTGCGTGGCGGGGGGGAACAAAGGGCGGCGGCGGCGGGCGCGCTGAGGCCGCACGGCAGGGCCCGGGGCCGGCTCTGAGAGGAGGGCTGGGTGTCCCCGGGACGGACCTTAGGGGACTGTCCCAACAGGGGCTGCGCTCCCCCGGCAGCTGCGGGGCCCTGCGGGGTGTCCGGGCCCGGGCGCGGTGCCTGGCGTTGGGTCTGAGGAGCCGGGGCCGGCGGGCGCGACCCCCCCGAGCCGCTCTGAGCCCACCGGGGCTCGGCTGCTTTGCTTTGAAATAATCGCAACGGTGTAATTATCCGGTTAGCTCGCTTTCTTTTTTTTTTTTTCTGGATTATATTTCTTTTTTTATTACATCTTTCCAAGTTTCTGTCGGGTCGCGTTCTCTTCCGCCCCCCCCCGTAACCGGTATAACCCCCCCGGCAGCGGTGCCACCCGCGCTGTGTGAGCTCCTCACGCCCCTCGGGCTTTAAACCAGCCCCTTCATCTCCCGGGGCTGTTGTGGCACGTGTCCCCGTTCCCGAGTTTCACACAACCAGCGGGTTTTCACACTAAAACGGTGAGGCGGGTGTCCCTGCCCTAAAACAGCTCCCGAGCTCCGCAGCTCAGATTTATACCGAGGGAAGCGGATGAGGTGAAATATTAACAGCTGCCTTGGGTTCAAATTAGCTGAGTTCTCCCGTGGATGTTTCTAAATTAGTTTGGAACTACCTGGGGCAGCGGTTGTTGCCGGCGGGACACCGTTAGGGATTCCCAGCTGGAAAATCTGGGAACTGCAGGCCGACCAGCTGGCACTCCAGCTTGCGGGGCTCCCTTGCTCATCACAGCACGGCTTCTCTTCTGATAATGACGAGTTTTGGCTGTTTGGAGGTAAAAATAATGTTAGAAGTGGGTTTAAATTTGTATTAATGATCTGTTTGAACGCCTACAAAAAAGTTTTAAAAGGGAAGGAAATGGTAAGGGGGTGGGGGGAGGCGGGGGGGGGGGGCCGTCTGTGCTGGCGTTAATAAATGTTCATTGGATCAGACTAGAGCTCTTGAAATCTGAAATCATACACTCGGCTTTATTGCACTCCATAGGAAAAAAAACTAAAAAAATAAAACTTTTAGTTTTGTAAAACTCAAAATTTAGAAAATGGAAGAGATCCCGTGGCATTTTGTGACAGGGATGGGAAAGGAAATAGAAGTATCTACTGCTGACAGATGTTCTTTGGGTTCAGCTACACTGCTGTACACTCTGTGTGGATATCATGCTGCTACTGTACCCATTCCAAAAGTACACCGTACCTAAATATACCAAAGTGCTGAAATAAACTGTATTATTTTTAGTGCCGATACTGTTGTAATACAACCCCGTGTGGCAGTGACGAAAGGGAAAGAGGGAGCTGGGGGGCTTGAGGTCTTCCCTTCTCTGCTTCTTCCTGCTTCCCAAACCTCGTCAGGAGAAAGGGTCTGGGGAGGTGGGGGGCTACAGGAGGGTGAACAAGGGAATTGTTCTGGTGTGACTGAAAATGAGGAATTGGTGGAAGGGAAGAGGTCACAGCTGAGGTCCCTCTCTGACTTGAACACTCAGCTGAAGAGCTCCCTGGAGAGTTCCTAGCCCTACTCTCTCCCACAGCATGGTTGGGATACGAGAGCAGTAACGAGGGGAGGAAAGGAGACTCCCATCTCCCTCAGGCCTTGCCAACTTCTTACAGCTTCTGTTGTGATGTTTGATGATGTTAGGGAATTTGTTTTGATGTCAGCATCTTAAAGGCATTGGCCATTGCCGTGTCAGATATCCTCAGGGTTCAGTGTTTCTTCAATTGCAGCTTTACAGCTTTTCCATTGAGCAGCGGTATAATTTACCTGGGTTAGCTGGATAAAAGTTATACATTTAGGTGTTGGCTTTTCAGATAGCTTCAAAGAATCTTTGTCTTTTCCTATGTATAATGGAAATTGGTGGATTTCTAAAAAGGAAATGGTTCTTGATGTTCTAGTGTTCACATGATGTGCTTATAATAGTACTCGAAAACCAAAACAAAAATTTCCATTGAGCAGCGGTATAATTTACCTGGGTTAGCTGGATAAAAGTTATACATTTAGGTGTTGGCTTTTCAGATAGCTTCAAAGAATCTTTGTCTTTTCCTATGTATAATGGAAATTGGTGGATTTCTAAAAAGGAAATGGTTCTTGATGTTCTAGTGTTCACATGATGTGCTTATAATAGTACTCGAAAACCAAAACAAAAATATGCCCAAGTAATCCCTCTAATTTCAGTATTGTTAGGAGTATGCGCATATTAATCAGTTTGGCGAGATGATTACAAATGTTTAGAAATTTTAGAAGTCCAAGAAGTTAAGATGAGTAATTCTTTTTGGCCTGTCCACCTAAATATGCCAAATATCCTTTAACTGCACGTTGTTCTGACGCTCACGTTCATCCTCCTCCTGTGACTGTGCGGTGCAGGCATTACCGGAAGCGCTCTGCGTCGCGCGGCCGCTCGGGCAGCCGTTCCAGGAGTCGTTCTCCCTCTGACAAAAGAGGAAAACGTGAAGACAGAAGGTCCAGAAGCAGAGATCGAGACCGTCGCCGTGAGAGGTCACGCAGCAGGGACAAGAGAAGGTCTCGATCGCGTGACAGAAAGCGTCAGAGGTACGACTTACCAGTTCCAATCAAAGTAGATAAAAATGCTTGATATCTGAATATTGATGTTCTTCCACTATAATTAGTTACTTTGCTGTTGTTCATGACAGATTTTACTATGCTCAATTTTGCTTATTAATTGGTTTCTACCTGCTGGTGCTGGACTTTCTAAGCTCTTAGTGGTCTTGAGGGCAACGAAGCTGGTGAGGGGTCTGGAGCACAAGTCTTACGAGGAGAGGCTGAGGGAGCTGGGGGTGTTCAGTCTGGGGAAGAGGAGACTGAGGGGACACCTTATCGCTCTGTACAAGTACCTGAAAGGAAGCTGTAGAGAGACAGGGGTCAGTCTCTTCTCCCAAGTTACAGACGATAGGACAAGGGGTAATGGCTTCAAGTTGCGCCAGGGGAAGTTCAGGTTGGATATTAGGAAACATTTCTTTACTGAAAGGGTTGTCAGGCATTGGAATGGGCTGCCCAGGGAGGTGGTGGAGTCACCATCCCTGGAGGTATTTAAGAAACGTGTAGACATGGTTCTTCAGGGCATGCTATAGTGCCCAAGATTATTGGTTTGTCGTGGGCTGCTGAGTGGGTGGGTGATGGATTTTTGGTTTGGTTGTTGTTGT